TCATGAAAGGTACTTCGTGAAAGTGAAAATCCAACTGGCAAATAATGTGAACAGATATTTAACCTCATTGCAAGAAGGGAAATAAAAAGTAAAACAGCAATGAGTTATAAACTCACCAGAATGGCTAAGATTTAAAAGTCCTTCAGTACAAAGTATTGGATAAACACATGGAACAACAGGAACTCCTATACACTGTTGGTGAGAGTAGAAACTGGTACCATCAATCCCTTTGGAAATGATTTTGCATTATCCAATAAAATTGAAAATAGGTATATACTATGATCAAATTAATCTACTTCTAGGTATATATACTAAAGAAATTCATGGACATATGCAACAGGATATATGTACAAGTATATTCTCAAAAGTATGGTTTATAATAGCCCTAAACGGAAAAAAAATGAACATCAATTAACAGTAAAGTGGATAAGTAAAATCTTTAAAAGACGGAATGAAAGTAAATGAACTATACCTACATGCAATAAAGTGTATAAATTTCATTAAAAAATTAAGAGGTAAGAAAAATATAATTCAAAAATAGGCAAAATTAAGCCAACTGTTTAGGTATGCATTCATATGTGGTACAACTTGAGAAAGGCAGTGAAATTATCATAAGCCAGGATAGTCATTACCTCCAGAGGACAAAAAAGGATTATTTATCTAGAAGGGAACATAATAGCTCCTAGGGTGGTAGTAATGTTCTATCTCTTGAACTGGATGGTTCTAGAAATATGTATCCTACATACTCTCTGTATAAATGTTATACTTCACATTTTGAAAAAAGTGATGATAAACACCACTCCATAGAGAAAAACAGTTATGCTGATGGGTTCATAATGGGTTCAGGCTGCCAAGCAACCATATTATATTTTCCTAGTCCATTCCTCCTCCTACTCTCCTGGAATAACAGTATTTTATACCTCTGTTCTTAAAAGCTCCAATACCTCCTCCTCTGTCCTCACCCTCAGTTGGTGATTTCCTAAGTAACTGAGAGGAATGAAAGCAAAGAACATTTCCACAGACACACCACTACAAATACCCACCTATTGTGATTTTTCACCCACATATTCTACTTTCCCTTAGCTCAAGTCTCTATGATACTACCTAAGGCCAGTCCGCCCTTTTGTGCAAGAGATCCAATCTCCTCTTGCCTTCTCAAGAACATTACAGGAACTCTCCCATCTGTCACCTATAGCATCAATTTCCTTTAGCAAACAAACATACTGTTATTTCTTGACTCAACTTCCCCCACCAGCTATGACCCCATTTCTTTGCTCCTTTTTTTAGTTAAACTTCTTTAAAAAATTATCTCCAATTCTGCTCTTTCCATTCTCTCTTAAATCTACCACAATCAGATTTTTGACCTGACCACTCTGTCAACTGCTCATCAAGATCATCAATAGTCTCTAATGGTTAATACTGAGCTCTCATCTTACGTATGTTCAGGAGCACTGACACAGGTTAGCATTCCTTGCTCCCTGATAGATTTGCATCACTGGGTTTCTGGTAAATCATGCTCTCCTGATTTTCTTCCTGTGTAATTGGTCACACCTTCTCAGTTTCCACTGCTGCCACTTCTGATTCCTCTTCTACTTAATGATGGTATGCCCCTCAGTGTCTTTGGTATTCTTCTATCTGTACTCACTCTCTTGGTAATCTCATCCAGTCTAATGATTTAAATGTATTTTCGTGCCAGTATTTCCAGTTCAGACCTCTGTCTTAAACTCCAGACTCATTTCTAACATCTAATAGACATCTGAAATTCCATTATGTTCAATACCAACCTTCCAATTTCCCTGCTAAAACCTGCTCTTTCATACATTAACCATCCTTATTTCTATTTAAGGACTTTCCTTAAATAGAGAGACCATCCATTTTGTTGTTCAGACCAAAAAATCTGGAGTCATCCTTGTCTCCTCTCCCAATATCTAGTCCATCAGTAAACTCAGTATATTCCATCTCCAGATATAGCCAGGATTTGAAGATTTCTTCTCCTCCACTGATAATCAGCCCAAGCCACATTTATATCACACCTGAATTACTACAATAACTTTCCTGTCTGTTCTGTCTACACCCTTTGCCCTCTAATAACCTATTCTTAATATGCCAGCAGAAGGATCCTTTTAACAGTTAACTGAGACATTCTCTCTCTCCTCTGTTCAAAATCCTACTATAGCTACCCATCTTACTCAGAGGAAAAGCCAATGACATGCATTCCCTTTAAACCCAGGACAATATCACCATTTTTTAAACTTTTTTTTTTTTTTTTTGAGAAGGAGTCTTGCTCTGTCACCAAGCTAGATTGCAGTGGAGTGATCTTGGCTCACTGCAACCTCTGCCTCCCAGGTTCAAGTGATTCCCCTGCCTCAGCCTCCTGAGTAGCTGGTACTATGGCTAATTTTTTTGTATTTTAGTAGAGACGGGGTTTCACCATGTTGGCCAGGATAGTCTCGATCTCCTGACCTCGTGATCCGTCTAGTGAGTACCCTGCCTCAGCCTCCTGAGTAGCTGGTACTATGGCTAATTTTTTTGTATTTTAGTAGAGACGGGGTTTCACCATGTTGGCCAGGATAGTCTCAATCTCCTGACCTCGTGATCCGTCTGCCTCGGACTCCCTAAGTGCTGGGATTACAGGTGTGAGTCACCGTGCCCAGCCTTTTTAAACATATTTTTAACACACAAAATGAAGCCTAAAAAAGTAATTCCTAATCTTCAAACTAGTTCTGGTCTATGTAGAAATCTTAACTAATCCAAGCTGGGCCCAGGGGCACATGCCTATAGTCTTAGTTACGTGAGAAGCTGAGGTAGGATGATCACTTGAGCCCAGGAGTTCAAGCTCAGCCTCAGCAATACAGTGAGATGAGACCTCATCTCTTAAAAACAAAACAAAACAAAAATCTATTAACTAATCCACACTGTATAATGATAATGTAAATCACTGTATAATGATAATGTAAATGTAAAATGCAGTGCATTTTTAGAAATGTCTATTCATTATTTTAACATGATGTTCTTTTTCCTACTTTTTTGTTGTTAAGTGTTCTGTTTTTTAAATGTTAATGTTAAATGGCAGGTTTATAAAACATTTTATTATCTGAAAAATAAAAATGTGGCAGAACTATGTTTTATTGTCTTTTTCTCTATTTTCTCCCTCCACTCCCTACACTTTTTCACTGCTGAATTAAAAAACAGAATACTTTTACTGGTATATGAAAATGAAGTCTGGGTTATGGTATATGAAAATGAAGTCTGGGTATTATCAGATATCTACTTGATAAATCCCAGCCAAAAGGATTTATCAAGTAGATATCTGCACTAAAAGGTCACTAAACCACAGAGAAACTATACTATAGGGGAAACTTACATTGGCTATGGTATTATAGTCACACCTCTCCTGTAGTTCTGTCAAAACTGGCTATGTGATATTAAAATTCCTAATGTCCCTGACCCTATTTTTCCTCATCTATAAAGGGAAAATAATAATAGTATACAGTTCATAAAAGTATGAAAATTAAGATGATATATATAAGTGATGATATATAACAGCTACCTATATGTTTAATTAATACAACACTATACAGTGTTATATCATGGGAGACAGAATAGGAGGAAGGTAAGTGGGAGTAGTCCACCTGGTGCAGAAAAATATTTTATCCACTGATATTGTTTAGAACTAATGGCACATGGTGATAATATTTATAAGCATTTTGGTTAGTTTAATTATTGTTTTTAAATTCTCTGCAGACTGTGCATCCCTTTCCTGCCTTCACCAGGTCATCACAGCAAAAGATCATCTCTCACATTCATTCTTAACTGAAAGTCTACTTAGCGTTAGGCAGAGTTTATGGTAGGGACACAGAAGGTAGAACAAGAGTAGTCTTAAAAAGTCAGAAAACAGGCCGGGCACAGTGGCTTACACCTGCAATCCCAGCACTTTGGTAGGCTGAGGTGGGTGAATCACGAGGTCAGGAGTCCAAGACGAGCCTGGCCAAGATGGTGAAACCCCGTCTCTACTAAAAATACAAACATTAGCCGGGTGCGGTGGCAGGGACCTATAATCCCAGCTACTCGGGAGGCTGAAGCAGGAGAATCGCTTGAACATGGTGGGTGGAGGTTGCAGTGAGCCAAGACTGTGCGACTGTACTCCAGCCTGGGTGGTGACAAAGTGAGACTCCGTCTCAAAAAAAAAAAAAAAAAAACCAGGAAAAAACAGATGCTGGAGAGGATGTGGAGAAATAGAAATCTGTTGTTTTCTCAGGAAACAACAGATGCTGAAGAGTATGTGGAGAAATAGGAATGCTTTTACACTGTTGGTGGGTGCGCAAATTAGTTCAACCATTGTGGAAGACAGTGTGGCAATTTCTCAAGGATCTAGAACCAGAAATACCATTTGATCCAGCAATTCCATTCGTGGGTATATACCCAAAGGATTATAAATCATGTTACTATAAAGACACATGCACACGAATGTGTATTGTGGCACTATTCACAATAGCAAAGACTTGGAACCAACCCAAATGTCCATCAATACTAGACTGGATAAAGAAAATGTGGCACATATACACCATGGAATACTATGCAGCCATAAAAAAAAAGATGAGGTCATGTCCTTTGCAGGGACATGGATGAAGCTGGAAACCATCATTCTCAGCAAAATACCACGAGGACAGAAAACCAAACACTGCATGTTCTCACTCTTAAGTGGAAGGTGACCAATGAGAACACATGGACACAGGGAGGGGAACATCACATACCAGGGCCTGTTGGGGTTGGGGGGCTAAGGGAGGGATAGCGTTAGGAGAAATACCTAATGTAAATGATGTTGATGGGTGCAGCAAACCAACATGGCACATGTATACCTATGTAACAAACCTGCACGTTGTGCACGTGTACCCTAGAACTTAAAGTGTAATAATTTAAAAAAAAATTTTTTTAAAGAGTATAGTCATCCTGCAGTCTTAAATAAACTAAAGATAATTATTTAGAAAACAAATACTTACCTTTCTTGAATTTATGTACAGGAAGTTTCTTAAGTTGATCTTTACGAAGTCTGTTTCTTCTAGCTCTATGTCTATCCTGGACAAATTTTGTGATCTAAAAATAAAAGAGTAAAAAAAGGAGTCAGATATTAAATGTGCAAATAGAAAGTGACCATTAAAATAACAAATATCTTTTAAGTTTCTGGATAGCTACTGCAAATCAATTCAATTCATTTAAATTCGAACTGCAGTAGTATTATTAATTAAAGCATTAAATCGTATTAGTGATTAGTTAACCCATAAATTACCCCTTGAAGTTTTTATTAATTGATCTTGATTACCTTTGATTTACTGACAGAGACATTATAAAAAACATACAATTGTTTGCCTACAAAAATACAAATGGTAAACTATAGATTTTATAAAGACTCCAATGGGTTAAAAAAAAAAAAAAAAAATGGGGGCCGGGCGCGGTGGCTCACGCCTGTAATCCCAGCATTCTGGGAGGCCAAAGCAGGCGGATCATGAGGTCAGGAGATCGAGACCATCCTGGCTAACACGGTGAAACCCCATCTCTACTAAAAATACAAAAAATTATCCAGGCGCGGCAGCAGGCACCTGTAGTCCCAGCTACTCGGGAGGCTGAGGCAGGAGAATGGCGTGAACCCGGGAGGCGGAGCTTGCAGTGAGTCGAGATAGTGCCACTGCAGTCTGGCCTGAGTGACAGAGCGAGACTCCATCTCAAAATAAATAAATAAATAAATAAATAAATAAATAAATAAGTGAGACTCCATCTGAAAATAAATAAAAATAAATAAATAAATAAATAAAATAAAAATAAAAAATAATGGGAAGGTTGATATTCCTATATATTACAAACTAATAAAAATTTCAAACATACACTTACTAGTTACTGCAGAATAATGGGCAGAAATAATGCAGAACACCTTCACTACAAATATTCAGAAATGCTGGATAAAATATACAAAATATTTTAAACTATAAATTGCTATGCTTGCAAAAATAAAAAGGAAGTACACAGGGCCAAAAACCAAATACCAAAACACCCTTTGCAAAGGAAAAATATGAATGTCAAATTTAAGAACTTCTCTGCTCAAAAGGCACTGTTAAAAAAATAAAAGACAACTGAAGCGGGAGGATTGTTTGAGGCCAGGAGATCAAGACCAGCCTGGGCAACATAGTGAGACCCTATCTCTAAAAAGAAAAAAATTAGCCTGGTGCAGTGCCATGTGCCTGTAGTTCCAGCTACTTCGGGGGCTGAAGTGTGAGAATCATTTGAGTCCAGGATGTCAAGTCTGCAGTGATTTATGTTTGTGCTACTGTACTCCAGCCTGGGCAACAGAGTGAGAGCCTGTCTCCAAAACATAAATAAATAAATGAATACATAAATAAAATTTAAAAATTAAAAATAAAGATGAGCCACAGACTGAAATATTTGCAAATTGTATACACAAGGGATTTGTATCCAGAATATATATAAAAAACTCTCAAAGCTCAATAAGAAAACAAGTTACCCAACAGAAAAAATGGACAAAATATTTGAAGATACTTCACCATACAAGACATACAAACTGCAAATAAGCTCTTGAAGAGATGTGCAAAGTCAGCAGTCAACAGGAAAACAAAAATTCAAATCACAAATACTATAATACAATACACCTATTCGGTGACTAAAATGTAAAACTGACTACACCAAGTGTTGGCATGGAAGTGGAGGAACTGGGACTCTCATACACTTCTGGTGGGATTGTAAAATGGTACAACGACTTTGGAAAAGAGCTTGGCAATTTCTTATGAATCTAAACACACACTTATCCTGTGACCCAACTGTCCCACTCCTAGATATACTTACCCAATGGAAATGAAAGCATATTTCCATACAACAAATGTCCATGTCAGCTTTATTTGTAATAGCCAAAAACTAGAAACAACCCAAATGTTGATCAATAGGTAAATGAGTAAACAAATCATGGTATATTTACACAATGGAATACATCTCAGCAATAAAAAGGAATGAATAATCCATGTACTCAATAACATATATAAATCTCAAAATAATTATGGTGACAGAAAGAAGACAGACACAAAAGAGTACAGACTTTATGATTCCATTTATACAAAGCTGTAGAAAATGCAAAGCAATCTATAGTGACTAAAATCAGATTTGTAGTTGCCTGGGCATGGAGAAGGGTGGCGAGGGGAGGATGAAGGAAAAGTTGAAAGGTGCAGAAGGAAGGCATTGCCAAACTTTTTAGGGTGGTTAATATTTCATTATCTTGATTGTGGTGGTGGTGGTTTCACAGGTATATACATACATATCTGTTACATATGTGTATGATATGTGTGATATATATGTGATATACATATGCAAATGTGATATATATATGCATATAAACCTATGTCAAAACTTACCAAAGTGTACAATTTAAATATGTGTAATTTATTATATCAAATCATACCTCCATAAATTTTTTTAAAGTTTAATGGTAACCACTAAAAGAAGAGCAATATAATGCAAATTTTCATATCAATAGGGAAAAGAAAGTAAAAGTTATTAATGCAAATTTACACAGAAGAAAAAACAGAATAAAAAGTAAACAACAGAAATTAATCCAAATACATATGTGATCACAATATATGTTAAGTGGATTAAATTCACCAGTATTTAAAAGGAGTATATCACATTGTATAAGAAAAAAATTCCAATCATATGCTATTTACAAGACACAAGATAAAAACTGAATGATACATTAGGACAAAAATAAAAGTAAAAAATAAAGGGATAGGACCAGGTGCAGTGGCTCACACCTGTAACTCCAGTGCTTTGGGAGGCCAAGGCTGAAGGACTGCTTGAGCCCAGGAGTTTGAGACTAGCCTAGGCAACACAGAGAGGCCCCATTTCTACAAAAAAAAATATAAAAACAATTAGCTGGGCATGGTGATGTGCGCCTCTAGTCCCAGCTACTTGGGAGGCTGAGGTGGGAGGATCACTTGAGGTTATAGTGAGCTATGATTGTGCCACTGCACTCCAGCCTGGGTGACAGAGCAAGATCCTGCATAAAATAACCAAATTAACATAAAAAATAAAATAAAGGGATAAAGATCTATTAAGCAAAAGAAGCCTAGAATATCAAGCAAAATAGAATTTAAGGAAAAAAGCATCATTAGGAGAGTCATGACAACAATAAAAACAACACCTTATCTAGAAACAAAAGAGTGAAATACATACATTCACAAGCTCAGCAACTTATAGCGTAAGCACACAAAAAATTGTTAAGACTATAGACCTGTGCTGTCCAATTTTGGTAGCCACCAAGTACATGTGACTACTGAGCACTTGAAACATAGATAGTCTGAATTGGGATGTGCTGTAAGTATAAAGTAGACACCAGATTACGAAGACACTGTACAAAAAGAATGTAAAAATATCATATATTTGTATTAATTGAATGTTGTTATATATTTTAGATTTATTGGGTTAAATATAGTATTAAAATTAATCTCATCTGTTTTCTTTTTTTAACCTTTTAAATTTGGCTACTAGAAAATTTAAAATTATAATAAAATGTGGCTCATAAGATTGTTCTATTCTTAGCACAGCTTCAGAAAATAGAAAAGAACGCAGAAAATTATTAACAATTGTGGTGATGGTTGCATAATTCTGCAAATAAAATTATTGAATTGTGCACTTAAATGAGTTAATTTTTATGTTAATTATATCTCAATAAAACTGTTAAAAGATTAGACAAAACAAATTCACAAGTTCGAACTAATGAACACAGAACTGCCCTTCGTGTCTTTTCACACACAGGGAATGTTTACAAAATTTAATCAGAAAACCATGCCACAAAGAATCCATAACATACAATGTTTTCTTACCTCAACACAACTGAATTAGAAATCAATAGGAAAAAAATACATATTTTGGAAATGTAAAACTGTACTGAAATAATTTATAAGTCTCAGAACAAATCGTAATGAATATCTACTTTTCTGAGGGGGTGTTATAGTCAGCATGCCACCTAGATTCTAAATAACTTGAGAAATAAGACCATGAACTGCCAGGAGGACGAAGGTGAAACAACTAACTCACTGGAGAGAGAAACAGAACTTTTTGTACTTGTTTCAGCAACACATATACTAAAATTGGAATGATACAGAGAAGATTAGCATGACCCCCGTGCGGTGCAAGAAACATAATTTTTTTATTGAGCAATAGAATTAGGTTGCCTTAGCCACTCAGATATAGACAAACACAACTTTGGAATGAAGTAGGCCTTCCCTTCACCCTGTCACAGAATTGCAGAACCAGCCCTAACCCTGGAGGAGCTGAATCAACATCTATGTCCCAAAGTCAGGTTAATAACAAAACAAAGATGGTGGAGCTGAGCCAAGTGTGCCCAATTTATTCTTCCTAACTATGCCACACAGATAAGACACTTTATCTCCTCTAAGGTGGAAAGAGTAAATGGGCAGAGAAGGGCTAAGAGTTATAGTAACTGAGTTCCCCCGTCATACGGATTGAAACATTAAGAGTGATAAAGAAACATCCTACATTAAAATGAAAAACTTTTAAATTTAAGTCGAATGAAAACAAGAATTTTCCTTATCAAAAGTTGTGGGTTTCAGCTATAGTTATTGTTGTAGAAAAATTTATAACCTAAATGCATATACTAGAAAAAAAAATAAGCATTTGGCTGAATAAAGTAGAAAAAGAAAAGCCATACAACCAGACAAGGTAGAAGAAAGAAAATAAGAACAAAAATTCATGATAAAGATAAAGAAAGTAAAGAATTTAGCATTAAGTTCTACCAAAATGTAAGCGGCTTAACATCAGGGATTTTTACCGATTTTGTTTACTGATGAATCTGTAGACCCTTGAACAGTGCCTAGTTCACCATAGGTACAGAATAAATATTTATTGAATGAAAACCTACTTCTATGAAAGACTAATAAGGCAATAATTTCTGACAACATTGTGAAAGGCACAGATGGATATGAATAAAGATAACTTATTCCACAAATAGTAGAAATTCTCTTTAAATTGTTATTTGAATATATGAATATTATAAATCACTTTATTCCACTACACTTGAAAACCGGAAATTTCTTAGAAATACAATTTAGTAGGAACTGGAAAACCATCTGAATGTCTATATAACTATGAAAAAGTCACTAGACCTAGATGATTTTATAGGCATCCTCTACAAAAATGTCAAGTAATAGATAACCCAAATTTTCTTAAAAAAAAAAAAAACTATTTTAGAAAGTAAGAGAAAGCTTTAGTTTTATGAGCTATAATTTTGATTGTCTAGTTTTTTTTAAATTATGGTAAAATATACACAACATAAACCTTACTATCTCAACCACGTTTAAATGTACAGTTCGATGGCTTAAGTACATTCATACTGTTGTGCTACCATCACTACCATCCATTCACAGACTTCATCTTATTAAGCTGAAATGCTATATCCATTAAACAATAACTCCCCCTTCCTCAGTCCCCTCAGTTCCTGGCAACCACCATTCTAGTTTCTGTCTCCATGAATTTGGCTACTCTAGGTATGTCGTATAAGTAGAATCAGTATTTGTCCTTTTGCGACTGGCTTATTTCACATGGCATAAAGTCTTCAAGGTTCATCTATGTTGCAGCATGTGTCAGAATTTCCTTCCTTAAAAACACTGAATAATATTCCATTGTATGTATATTCCACATCTTGTTTATCCATTCATCCGTCAATGTACACTTGGGTTGCTTTCATCGTTGGCTATTGTAAATAATATTGCTATGAACATGGTGTACAAATATCATACGAGTTTTTGCTTTGAATTCTTTTTGGTATATACCCAGAAGTGGAATTACCAGCTCGTATGGTAATTCCATGTTTTATTTTTTGAGGAGTTGCCATACTGTCTTCTTTAGTGGTTGTTCCATTCTACCTTCCTATCAACAGTGCTCAAGGGATTGTCTAGTTTTCATGTCAAGGTTATTCTGGCCCCATAAAACCAAAGCTTTCTCTTACCTGAATATTCAGATTGCTAATATTCTAGGATTTTTACATCGATGTCCAAGTATAAAAAATTAATCTATATTAGAAATCTGAATAATCTAGAGATGTAAGGGCAAAATTTATACATCATAAACAGGATTTATCTCCAGAATATATGGAATTTCAAAATTTACAAAGCATATTAATGTAACCCAACATAAACATGATAAAAGAGAGAAAAATCAATTATTACTACAACAGATGAAAGACATACAATTCAGTACCCCATTTTAAAAAGTTAAGCAAATAAAAATCTGATTTATGTCCAGGACTTATACTGCTTTTTCCCCCTTATTTTCCCAAAAAACATAGCACAATGTTAAAGGAGGTAGAACAACAGACATCCATTTCCTGTTCTTGACCTTTTTTTTTTTTTTTTTTGAAACTGAGTTTCACTCCTGTTGCCCAGGCTGGAGTGCAATGGCAAGATCTCAGCTCACTGCAACCTCCGCCTCCTGGGTGCAAACGATTCTCTTGCCTCAGCCTCCTGAGTAGCTGGGATTGAAGGCGCCTGCCACCATGCCCAGCTAAATTTTCTATTTTTACTAGAGATGGGGTTTAAACACATTGGCCAGGCTGGTCTTGAACTCCTGACCTCAGGTGATTCGCCTGCCTCGGCCTCTCAAAGTGCTGGGATTACAGTGTGAGCCACCGCACTCGGCCCTGCTGTTCTTGACTTTCAAGGGAAGGCTTCTAGCATTTCACCATTTAATAATGTTTATTTTAAGTTTTTAGTCTATATTCTTTCTCTGTATAAGGATATTTACTTGTACTCCTGGTTTTCCAAGGGTATTTTCGTTTGTTTGTTGTTTGGTTTTCTAACTTACTGTCTACTTTCTTGCTTCTACGCTGAAACCCCAAGGGAATCAACAAACAAATTACTGTAATGGAATTTGTTACACGATTACATGATTAATGATTAATGACATGATTATATGATTAATACATAAAAATAAATAATGTCCCCTGACCAAACCTTGCTTTCTAAATACAACTCTCTGATTAAAAAAACTAGGACTCCTTGGGAAAAGGTCTGATGCTAGGGGTGGGACAGGAAAAATATAAAAAATATACAATGAACCTGAAGCATCTTATAGTATAAGACAGTAGTCTAGAAGTGCTTAATAATCATTTAAAAAGGGATAGCACTGAATCAAAGGAACATAAGATCCAGCATGACAACAGCCAAAGTTAAACAATTTAAAAACAATCAAAAACCAAAAATAACGTATGAATAGTACTGGATTATAACCTAAGTGTAAAATAAATATACATGAGTGCATACTAATGTAAGTGGTTGGTTGAATAAATAAATGCGGAGAAATCTTCCTTGCAGAAGAATTTCAGATAATGCAGATATGCCCTCCCCTTCCCCCACCTTAAGAGTGGGCTATACTTAGTGCCTCACTTCTAAAGAAAGAACAGAGTAGAAAAAGGAAAAAATATTAACTTTATAATGGAGAAATTCAGCAAACACTACCTTAACCAAGGAATGAAGGTTAGCATCATCAGTGATGTTCTACAGATATCATATACCCCCAAATATGATGTGAGGAGAAGGGCACTTCACCTCTGTGATACTCTTTTGAAAAACCTGTAGCCTTGTCTAATCATGAGAAAAAAATCAGGTTGAGAGACATTCTACAGGATACCTGGCTAGTACTCCTCAAAACTACCAAGGCCATGAAAAACAAGAACAGCAAAATTGTCATAGACCAGAGGGAAGACAGGATAATGAAATACAATGTGGTATCCTAGACTTGATCCCGGAACAGAAAGAGCACATTAATGAAAAACCTGTAAAATCCAAAATGTAGAGTTTAGTTAATAGTAATGTACCAATGTCAGTTTCTTAGTTTTGACAAAAGTCTCCTGGCGATGTAAAATTTTAACAATGTGGGAAAGTAGATGAGGGATAAACAGGAATTCTCTTCTTTGCAAACTTTCTGTAAATCTTAACATTATTTCCAAAATTAAACGTTCAATAAAAAGCAATGCTCTAATACTCAATTATGAGAATAACCAATTATAAAATATAATTTCAAAAATCCCTTTTATGGTAGCAAGAAAAACTGTATGTGTGATAAGTCTAAAAGAAGACATGCAAAACATTTATAGAAAAATTATTATTCAACTGATGGAAAGACCTAAATAAGTAAATTTAAAAATACGATAGCATCATAGGAAGACTGAACATTTTAAAGATAGCATTTAATCTTTAAGCTAATCTATGAATTCAATATAATAATAAATGTACTGAATATTAAAATACATATTCTTTATGACAAAGAAGTTGGCAAGAATAGTGGGACTGTTTTATATCTTTGCAAATCTATTTTAATATCTGTAAAAATAGAATACAGAGGGATTTTCAAACTGCTTCTGTTTTCAAATATTTTGATATTGCACATCACGTAGCCTCTAGAAACTTTTACTACACGCGTCTAAGAGAATGAGAGTGACAAAGGCAAATATTACCTTAATATTATTATGTAAATAATTTTGATTTTGCAGACCTACTAATAGTCCTGTGACCATACTTTGATAATCACCATTACGGAGAAATAATATGTCATTCCCCCTTAACCTTAAGCTCTCACATTAATTTTTTCATACTTTAATATAAAAATTTTCAAACATACAGAGGAGTTGAATTTTATAATAAATACCCATATATCCACCTGAATTCTATAATTAACATTTTACTATGCTTTTTGTCACATCTCTATTTACCCATCAATACATCTTACTTTTTCCTCTTATTTTTTTACAGTGTATTTTAAAGTAAGTTGCAGGTATCAGTGTACTTTCCCTAAAATACTTTGGCATGCAAATCATTACTCAGTTTAGTAAATTTTTTTTTACAGTTCGTTTTCTTTTGAGGTAAAATTTACATATAATGAAAAGTACAACACAATTGATTGTGTGAATCCAGACAAATGCCATGCATTTTTGCAACCCACATCTCTATCAAGATACAGAACATGACTGTCATCCCCCAAAAGTTCCCTCATACTCTTTTCAGTAAATTGATCACTTCTCTCTAACCCCCCAGAGGAAATCACCATTCCTATTTTTTCCTACTCACATTATCTTTGTCTAGAACTTCATATAAATGAATTTATACAATATGCACTCTTTTATGTACATATTGTTTAAATTCTCTCACTCAATACAATGTTTTTAGATTCATCCATACTATTTTTTAAAAATTATTAAAAGTTAATGTACCTACCATGAAAATGACTATTAAGATGAGACAGATGCCCACTATGATAAGGAAGGGAATTAGGTAGTATTCCAAAGGAAGACTAAATTCTGGAACTAAGATAAGGTGGCCCCTAGAAGAAAACAAAAATCAACAATTGAGAATTGAAGAATTGTTAAATTCTGATGTTAATTAAAAACAGGAAAAAATATTTTTAAAAACAGACATATAGACATTACAATTAAATCCACTACACACATTTCATTTTCTAAAATACGACTTCCAATAATTTAAGGAATGCTTTCTACATCTTTAAGTCTATTTTACACATTTTTCCTAATAGCATGCCTATATGATTAAACTGTGTAAAGAAAACTAGCCAATCAATACTTACTGTGTCTATCCTGGAGATACGTTATTTATTTATTTTATTTTACTTTATTTTTTTGAGATGGAGCCTTGTTCTGTTGCCCAGGCCGGAGTACAGTGGTGCAATCTCAGTTCACTGCAACCTCCACCACCGGGGTTCAAGTGAGGTAGCTGGGATTATAGGTGCCTGCCACCATACCCTGCTAATTTTTGTATTTTTAGTAGACAAGGTTTTGCCAAGGTGGTCTTGAACTCTTGACCTCAGGTGATCCACCC